GACCTTTCTGTATCTTTGTAGCCCCTCCAGTGGGCCCCTGCATGCAGCTGCCGCTGTTCAGTATGTATTCATGGGAGAAAGGCACTGATGTTAGCAAAAGGACTGTGTGTGGCTATGGTGCTTAGGTAGTTCACCTCCCTTACCAGGGATCATTAATCCAGCGTTTGTAGCTGTCAGGCTGCAGGGTTGGGAGAGGGAGTCTTAGGTTCTTCTGGCATTTGTTCTTGGCTCTTTGCCATCAGTTTTTGCCCTGGAGAAAGGAGAGGCCCCAGCGAGGAGCCAGCAGACATGGTGCAGAGCAGGGAAGGGGTCAGTATATCAATGCAGGTGTGGGGCAAGGAACCAAGAGCTTGCTCAACCAGGAAGGGGGTGCAGGCACTGCGCCTAGAGCACTCTTGGCTCTCAATCCTGCCATTTCCCTCTCCACCGACCTCTCCCAGGTCTCTTCCCACTCAGTGGCCAATGTGAGCTTTGGGGGCTCAGGGTAAGGGGTGGACAGTCTTGTTATCTTGAGATTCCCTAGCCCCTTCATTCGTGGGGTGCCTCTGTACCAGAAGCAAGACCAATGCAAGGGAAGCATTCAGCTCTGAGGCTGCACTTCTGGATTTCAAACTTCACTCTGCCTCTCCCTTCCCGTCTAACGTCGGGCTCACTGACCCTGTGCTAGTATTTTACCTTCTCTGAGCCTCATCAGTAAAATGGGGCCTAATAATGGCATCTCCCTCATAAAGCCTTTGTGAAGATTCAATGAGCTAATACAGGACTCTTAGAACAGTGTCTGGCTCATAGTAGCAACTCAGTAAGTGTCCACTATCAACATCATGTTAGGTGTGTACCCTCTCTTGAACTGATGATTTCCGGAGAAAGCTTGGTCTTCCGGCAAGCTTCAGATTTCTCTTCTTCCTCATTGAGGTAATTCTTGTCTTGGTTATCTCAGTCTCCCACTGTGATGCCATTTTGTACACCTTGAGGAATTTATATTCTAGCGAAACCGAACCTGCTGATGGACGTGACCAGGGTGCATTCTCTTCTTCACCAGGCATCCTTAGCCACATTGCCCAGACACCCAGAATCGCAATCCTATGCTTGGGGATTACAAACAGCAGTGGATTTGGGGTTGGACAAGGAAATACGGTGATGCATGACAGAAATCCAGATGAGAAACAAGTAAAGGTGCAGTATTAATACCAGTGCGGGGTGGTCTTCAACAGTAATTATGGTATCCTGACTCATGTGCTGTGGTTCAGACTGAAGACCATTGCTGGCCTTGGTGTCAAAAGGCATGGGGTCCCGTTCCCATGTTAATAGCTGTGTGGCCTTGGGTGAGCAATCTTAGTCCACCGAGCTTTAGTTTCCCCATCTGCAGAATGAAAGGATGGCTCTGAGGTGTGTGAGTGTGATACGCGGATGCTGTGGTGTGGCCCTGAAAATGAGCCCTGCCCTTCCATGAGTAGGAAGTTGGCTACATGAAAACATGTGTCTTCTGCTACATTAAAAAAAAAAGTTAACGTGTTTGATTTATGTGGGTCTTCCACCCTCCGTGCTGCTGGAAAATATGAGCATCTCAGTACATGGCAGGGGGAAATGAGAGGAGGTGAGAGGGAGGCCTGTGGGGAGTCCTGGTGGGGTGTGGTGGGAGCGAGCGTGGGAAATGTGGATTGGGCCACTGCAAGGTGCTTGCCTGCTTTCTTTCTCTCAAATTGTGGCTCCAATCCTAAATTATTTTATGAAGAAGGACAGTTAGAAAACAATAATCTGGGAGGGCTAGGTTCTTGGCCAAGATGATTCTTGGGTCATCTGGAAAAGCAGCCGCAGCTTCGGGGAGAAATGGCAAATTACCAGAAATAGTGAGATAGGTAGGGGTTGGGTGGGAGGTGCCTACACCCTTCAGGCAGAAGGAACCCGAAGAGTTTCTATTCCTGGAGACAAGTGCCTGAGCTGAAGAGGTTAAAGCAATTTGAGTGCATCTGAGTTCATTCCAGAAGGGTGGAGACGTTCAGTGCCACAAATGAGGCACTTCTGAGCCCTGCGCACTCGTCTGTGGGCGTTCAAAGAACTCAGGTCCAGTGATTCTTCACTGAAGTCCCTGACTGGGGGAAGAGGGACAGGCAGAGCCTCTGACCCCAAACAGCTGCATCTTCCCACAATGAAGACACTGGTTACCGCAGGCTGGCTGCTCTCAGCTACACCCTGACCCTCAGGAAATCTGCCGGCTCCTTCCTTGTTCCTCTTGTTTGATCCAGGGAAACCGGGATTTCTTGATGGAAAGAACAGGTTGCTCCTGGCCAGGAAGGGCCTGCAGCTGCATGTCTTCACTCCAGAGAGAATCCACCCTCCCAGAGAGGAAGGAAGCTCTTGGCTTTTAGGACCTTCCAGCGTCACAGGCGGGCTTCTGGGCAGCGGAGGTCCAGTGGCTGAGCTGTCAATCTGGCCTCACCATTTCTGCTGAGCAGGGCAGTGGCTAGGACTCTGCATGTCCACGTGGGTGACCTTCCCTTTTCTGGGAGTTAGTGTCATGGGTTAGTAGACAAGATCAGGGTTCTTTCCATTCTAAAGTATATCATTCTGTGTGTTCCTTTTATAACCTAGAGGGCCAGAAGGGGCCGAGCACCCTGGGATCAGGGCAGGAGCAGAGGCTTAATTAAGGCACTGGTCCAGTCTGGGTTCTAGTTGAGAATTGGCCCTTCTTCGGAGGAGGAAACTGAGGCCTCGAGGAGAGAAGTGACCTGCCAAAGTCACACATCTACTTCGTGGTGGGGCCAGGACAAGAATCTAACTAACCTTCTTGGTTCTTCCTCCCATGCCCTTTCTCTTACACAAAGCCAGCGGTGAGTGTGCATGGTGGCCCTGGGGCAGTGTTGTGTTTGTCCTACAGGCTCTCCTTATGGGCTGTGACCACCAGACAAGAATTTTCAGAGACTCCTGCCTTAGTGGGGATGCTATACTGTAGTGTCCAGGGACAAATGGGCCCAGTTCCCCCACCCCCTGCCCCATGCCCGCATGCAAACCGCCATTCCTTGTCTCTTGGTCCCCTGCCCCCTTTTCCCTCCATTCACAGGCTGTTCCCTGCAACCCAGTCCTGTTCCTCAGCAGTCATATTCCCTAAACTGCTTGCCTGGTGAACTTGCCCTCCCAAACTCTTCTAGGTTTCAGAACTCTAGGGGAAGGAGAACTTTCTGGAAGGGTGAGCCTTTGGAGAGGGAAGAGTATTTGGAAGAGAGGGAATTTGAGGTTCACCCCAAGGGTTCCTCGAAGTGGCAGACATGCCGCATGTGAGCCCAGGACAGCGGATCAAGGCTGGGCATGCATCACTCATTGTTGACCCGTGTACTCTGGAGTCTGATCGCCCTCTCAGTTCTTTGGCCAGAGAAACTGTTAACTCATTAGGAGGTGTGACTATCACCTGACCGTGGGAAGCCAAGTTTGACTGCTCAGGTGGTAAACTTCTGAGTGCTCTGGATTAAATTTTGCTGATTTTCTGTACTCTGACCACTTTCCTCCTATGCCCCCTGGCCCCACTAACTCTGCTGCCGACCTTTCCCCCCAGGTCAGCATGTGCCTGCACACGCACGTGCACATAGCCCTAAAGAGAACGAAAACTGAGAACAGTTCTGGGTGTGTTTATGCGGACACCTTGGCTCCCATGGAGAACACACACAGCTCTTTCTCCGGAGAGTTAACTTAGGAGTTGCTGAGCAATCAGCTTTGACGTGGTGGAAAGAGCGCTGATGATATCCAATCATACAGACCCCAGTGTGTGTTTCTGCTGCGCCACGTGGACCTCTCTAAGCTTCAGCTTCCTTGTCTGCGCAAGGTGCTAATAGCTGTCATTCTTCCAGTGGGCTGTTGCAAGGATGAAATATGGTCATGCGTGTGAAGTGCACACACGATGCACACACGATGTCAGCATTTAGTAAATCATCACCATGATTAACTATGAGCATGAGCCTCAGTTTTCACCTTTGACAAATAGGTATAATAACATATCTGCCTCCTAACGCTGCTGGGGATGATGATACCTAGAGTAGTTTCTTTTTAACTACAAAGAAAGGCAAGGATGTAATGAAGACAATCCCGGTATCACTGATTCAACAGGGTCTTCTCTGTTAAGTGATAAGTATCTTATCCTATTATCCTATTTCCAACTTCTGGGCTCTTAAGGTATGTAGGTGCATTGCTGGCCCATGATGCTCAATAAATTCATTGAGATATCCGCCCCCGGTACCCCATTTTGCCCTTCCACATCCCCGGAAGTGCTTCCCAATAGGGTTGTTGGAGGAAGTCCTAGCGTCCGCTGCAAGTTTTAGTACAAAAGGAGGGACTATCTTAGGCGGCGATCCATTTTTTTTTTCTTCCTAGCAGCTCAGGGGTCCCCTTGAGCTTCTGCAGCCAGTTGAGCTGTGTCCGGATAGCAGCTCGTATCCACCTCAGTCTGCTCCCTCCCAGCCCAAGGAAGCCAAATCTCTGGTTTGGGCAGGTCCTTGGCCCGTGACCCTTTGGCTGAGAATCTGAGCTTAATTCATGGTTGTCCAAAGGCAATCGCTCAGCAAGGACTGAGATGGCTCAGGGCTGACTCCGGATGAGGAACATACTGGCCTTCCGCCCCCACCTGCCTCAGTTAGCCCTGACCAGAACCTCGCCCAGCTGTGGAACTCACCGTTTTCTGGTTTGGAAATCTGTCTCTATATAAAGCAATGGCCTTGTGGTTTAATTCTATACCTCCTTACAGGATCTCCCTGAGTAGGATTTGGGTAGAATCTTCTTAGAGAGCCACAGGGCTTTCTTCCTGAAGCCTCCTCCCTCAGCCTGTGTTGATTCCATGAATAGCCCTGCAACCCCTTGGGAGAAAGGACCTGGCTAGGAAGGTGCTGGGCTTGGTTGGACAGGGAGCGGGGATGAGCTGGAACATCCCATAGGATGCCTTTTCTTCCCATCAGGTCCCTTCTGTACCTGTCACTAATTTCTGGCTGGCTTCTGCTTCCCCCTCCCCACCTCGGCAGGACCTGTGTGGGGCCACCACCTGTGACACGCTGGGCATGGCTGATGTGGGCACTATGTGCGACCCCAAGAGAAGTTGTTCTGTGATCGAGGATGATGGGCTTCCATCAGCCTTCACCACTGCCCATGAACTGGGTAAGGCTAGAGGGGGTTCTTGGGTGGAGGGGGAGGACTCCCTTCTGGGGTTTTTCCGGGTTTTTCCTGGGTGCTTTGGGCAGGGGGTAGACATTTGTCTTTGCTTCCTCATGTCCTAAAGCCTTAGGGAGTCCTTCTTAGGGTCAGAGTCTGCCTTAGCAATGGCTTTGTTTTATTTTTTCCAATTACCCCAGCCCAGTTGGCCAGCGATATTGTCTGACTCAGCAGTCAGAATATCTCATCAATTAGGCACTAAGAGGAGACGATTTTAGATAACCTGCTGTCCTCACTGAGCCCACAGCCTGGGGGGCAGGGCCGAGGACCCAAGAACACCATCTTGACATTTGCAAAGCAGTCTATCACTAGGTCAAAATGACCAGCCTGAAAATTGTGGACGTAGGCTCTCCAGCTTTCCCGGCTGATCCCCCGTCCTTTCAAAACTGCAGAGCCCACATCCTTCCGCCCTCTGAGTCCTCTTGCCTCACCCCATAGGCCACGTGTTCAACATGCCCCATGACAACGTGAAAGTGTGTGAGGAGGTGTTTGGGAAACTCCAAGCCAACCACATGATGTCTCCAACACTCATCCAGATTGACCGCGCCAACCCCTGGTCAGCCTGCAGTGCTGCTATCATCACCGACTTCCTGGACAGCGGGCATGGTAAGCCAGGGGGACAGAGGAGGGGTTTGGGTGCTGTCCCTGGAGAGAGTGCTCACCACCTCTCTGGGCCTGTCTTCTGTTGTCTAAGGCATGCATGACCCCAAAGAGTTGGGCTCTCAAGGGGGTCCATTCCACTGGACCTTGCTTCATTGTCTCCTTACCATTTAGACTCTGGGCCAGCCACGTCCCACCTTTCCCAACTCCTCTCTCACGAATGCCCTTGGCTCCCTGCAGGCGACTGCCTCCTGGACCCACCCAGCAAGCCCATCTCCCTGCCTGAGGACCTGCCAGGGGCCAGCTACACCCTGAGCCAGCAGTGTGAGCTGGCCTTTGGCGTGGGCTCGAAGCCCTGTCCCTACATGCAGTACTGCACCAAGCTGTGGTGCACCGGCAAGGCGAAGGGGCAGATGGTGTGCCAGACCCGCCACTTCCCCTGGGCAGACGGCACCAGCTGCGGCGAGGGCAAGTTCTGCCTCAAGGGGACCTGTGTGGAGAGGCATAACCTCAATAAGTACAGGGTGAGTGTGTGGGAGCTGCGCAGCGGGGCTGCTGGGAGGCAGGGGGCAGACTCGGAGGCCTCCAGGGGCAACGGGTTTGCAGCGCTTTGCCTCTGTTTCCCTGTCTGTGGTCCTCTCCCCGTCTTGACTCTGAGACTGGAGACAAGACATACGGTAGGTCAGAGAACTTGCTGAAGCCTTCCTTAGACATGTGAGAGAAGTCTCGCATGGGGCGCCAGGAGGCCTAGCCCTCAGCTCTGGGCCTCATCCTACCTGGGGAGGAGCTCTGGACCCAAAGCCCAACACTAGCTATTCGACATTCCTCACTTGTTGGCTCCTTCCAGCCTCCCCTTATCAGCTATTTCTGAGTGTGTTTTGTTTCCAGGGAGCTCTGGGCCAGAGGTGAGCCAGCCTCAGAGCTGAAAGGAAGCAGATCCCTGGGCAAAGCTGCAGTAATTTGCTGCATCCCGAACCCAGCTTTGCTTTTTGTCACGATTGTTTTTTGGAGCTGAAACATAATAGAGCAAAAGTTATTTTTTTCCTGGTAAAAAGGAATAACAGTTGAATCAGAACAAATCCCAAACCCCACATGTTCTCTGAATATAATAAACTCTGCAGGTCTGGGGTTGGGGTCGCAAAGGGATTGGGACTTAGTCAGACAGGAATAAGACATCCATCCTCTCCCTTGATCCTGGTGAGGATGATCCCTTTCCCACCCCTGCCTCGGCTGCAGAGGGGCTTGACTGGGGGTTTTATGTACATGGACGCATCGGTTGCCCTGAGCTGGGTTTGGTACACAATTATGTAAAATCCTTTTCTGTGTTTTGGAAACCTATATTTAATTAAACCATTAGCCATTTATTGGGCACCAGCCCACTGTATTTAGGGAACTGTGTGAGGTACTGTGGTAGTCAGAAAAAGAAATAAAACCTGGGCTGTCTCTCAGTGGGCTCACAGTCTAGTGGGGAAACTAGAAATGTTACTATGGTCCGAGACACAGAGCCATGTGTGTTCTGTGTTAAGACTGAAGTGTGAAAACGTGTCATGGGAGAATAAGGGATGGGAGATTAATGATGATTAGAGAGGTCTGAACAAACTTTGGTGAGGAGGTCAGATTTGGAGAGAGCCTTGAGGGATGAATAGGCTCTCTCAACAGGCAGAGATGGAGCAAAGTTAGGGAGGTGGGGCAAGCTGGAGGGCTGGATGGGCAAGGACTCTATGGGAAAGATCTTTGGGGGCATGGTTTAGGGCTAGTCTGCGGTTGCCTTGACCATCAGGCTGTGGGTTTAAACTAGAAGGTCCTGAGGACAGGCCAACCGTGGTCAGCTCCTTCTCTTGGGAAGACGAGTCTAGTGGATAAAGATGTTGCCCAAGAGGTTATTGGATATACGAAATGTGATCTGAGAAGCATATAGAAAGACAGTCTATCAGCAGCAAAATCCACTATGTCCTCAATCTCTTCTCTGGACAATCCCTTCACCACCCTGGCCCTTCACGGAGGACACTGCCCTAATCAGCAGAGGTCAAAGCACAAACCTTATCTTCCTAATCATGCAGCCTCCCTGGCCTCCCGGGACCTCAGTTGCAAGAATCACACTCTGATCACCAAGGCCCTGTTGTCCAGCCCTCTAAATTTTGGACTCCCAACAATTCTTCGGTCCCACTTGCTCTTCTCATGCCGTCATCAACCTTCTTCTTGAGATTCCATGGACCATTGTTAAAATCACTCCTTCGTGTACACTCATGGCTCCCATGTTCCTGCCTCTCTCAGCTATACTCGCTTGGATAAGGCACTGCCCTGGTGGAATCCAGCTCCCATGTGTTCAACTGTGCCACTGTGGGTGAGTGTGGCTGGAGAAGGACATGGAACTGTGCTCAGCGGTCACAGTTTGAACTAATAACCTGACAATGTACGTGGGCCCGCCCTCCCAGCGTCCTACACGATCACGTCACACCTTCGCCTCTCTCCTCCATTACCGACTCTTTCTCCTCATTTCCACTTTCGCCAGTGACCTTTATTCCTATCTCATTAAGAAAAAAGAAGCAATCAAGTAATCAGAAGAGAACTTCCACCAATTCCCACGGCCACATCCGCCGTCCGCCCTGCTTCGGTGCCTGTAATATCTACCTTTCCTCCTTTGTGATGAATGAGCTGTCCACGCTCTCATCGGAGGCCCGGCGCTGTGCTTTGCACTTAGGATACTGTCCCCTCTATTCAAGGAAAGCACTCCTTTAATTCTTCCACCTCTCTTCTGCAGTGTCCGATTTCCCCTCTCTTGAGTGGAATCATTCCTATCAGGATACAAACTTGCTGTAATTCCTCCCACCTTAAACAAAACTTCTCCTAATCCTACTTCCTCTCCATAAATCACAGTGTATCTCTCCGACTCCCCTTCCCACAAAGTTCCTGGAAAGAGTGGTATGAAATTGCTCTCTCCAGTTCGCGTCTTGCCATTTTTTTCTCTGGAGCCCATTCCAGTCTGGCTTTCAGTCCTACTCTCCCTCTAAAAATAACTCTCACTAAGGTCGCCAAATGGCCTCTACACTGCTGAAGTCAGTGATTGATTATCATTCCTCATATTGCCTGACCTGTTAGCAGCATCTGACACAGCTGATTACCGTCTCCCCTGGGAACACAGGCTCCACTGTGTCTTGGTTTCCTTCTTCCCTTACTGGCTGCCCCTTCTGGTCCCCTTCACTGGGTCTTCCTCACACTCTTGCTTTTCCAATGTTAGGCATTCTAGCTCTGTCCTTAGCCCTTGTCACTATCCACACTGACCTCTTAGGTGATCTAGACCAAAGGCTTTAAGTACCATTTACGTTTATACGTTGAAGTCCCCCAGATTTGTATCCCCAGCCCAGACCTCTGTCCTGAACTACAGACTGGCATGCCTCACTGAATCTTGATGCCTCCATGTGGATAACCGATAAGCATCCTAAACATAACATCTGTAAGACCAAGCTCCTGATCATCTGTCCTGAACCTGCTTTGGCAACTCCATCCTCCCATTGCTCGTGCCAACCCTTTTTTTCTCTCACATCCATCCGTTATTTCAGTAATTTCTGTTGACTCTATCTTCAAAATAGAGCCAGAATTGAGCCTTTTTTTTTTTTTTACTCCCTTATCTTCGATCACCCTGTGCCAAGCTACCTTGGGTTATTGGTCTTGCACCCTAACTGATCTCCTTGTTGCTGGTCTCGCTCCTCACAGATTGTTCCTACCATAGCAGCCAGAAGGATCCTTTAAAAGTAGGTTAGGTCATGCCACATGCTCAGAACCCTTCAGGGGCTCTCCTCCATGCTCAGGATGGTGAGCCCTGTCTCTGCCTTCATTTCCTGCTTCTCTTGCTCTTGTGATGCTGGAGTACTCCAGGCCCGTCCCTCCTCGGTCTTGGCATTGCTCCCTCGGCCTAGAGTTCTTTCCCTCATATCTGCACGAGTCCCTCCCGTACTCCCTCCAGGCCTTTGCCCTGCTGTCACCTCTGCAGTGAAGCCTCTGTGACCCCCTGTAATATAGAGCAGCCCACCTCACCAAGGCCCTCCCTCCGTCCCTCTCTCCCACCTGCATTTAGCCCCTCCTGACATTCTGTATATGCACAGACTTACTTTTAGTTTTTTCTGCTGGGATGCAGTCACTTCGAGGGCAGGGATTTGCTGCACATGGCGCCAGCCATTAGTAAGAATTCAACAAATATTTGGTGAATGAATGGCACACGGCAGGGCAGGAGTGTTTTCTGGGGGATGAATGTTTTCTGTAGGAACAGGTAGGAAAAAGTGATACCAGGCTAAAAACAATAGTAACAATGACAACAACCACACAGCATCATCTCAGAAGCCTCAGAGACAATGTTAAGAACTGAAGAAAAACTGGAGACAACAAGGTCTAAGCTTAGACTCTTTCAGTTTATGGATGGTCATCTCTTTGAGAGAGAGCTTCTCTGATGTGATGGGGACCAAGACCATATTGCAAGGTACTGAGGAGGGAGGAGGTACAAGGAGCAAATGTAGACCCTCTTAGGAAATGGAAGGCTGGAATGAGGTGGGGCGTTATTGGAGGAAGAAGCAGGGCTATTGGCAAGTGTTTCTTTCATAGGAGGAGAGACATGGTGACACAGTGAAGCAAGAACTATAGGACAGAAGGGCAGATAGAATAACTACGCTGCATGTGGGCATAAGTTAAAGTATGTAGATGACATGCAGCCAGTTCCTGATTAGCTCCATGCGGGTTAGTCACTTTGGATGATGGATGACAGCATTTTAATCCCAGGCTTGTACAACTGGGCTGCTTCCTCCGTTGCCTGACTGATGTGTGTTCAGGGGATGAAAACTTGCTTTACTGGCATCCTAAGAAAAACATAATGAGGAGGATACATTTTCTATCCCTTCTCCACCCTCTTAAAAAATGAAACAACACTGCCTAATTCACCTCAAAGCCAAATAGAGTTTTGGGATTGCTTTGTAGTTTTCTATCCTCGTCTCCTCTGAGCACAAACATTAGAACCTCTTATGGTGAAAATTTCTCAAATTCAGCCGCTGATTGAGCCTAAGATCTGGTTCAGTCTGGGTTGGAGAGAAGTCGGAATTATGGAACATTTACAAATAAAAATATTCAGATGTCTATGGCAACAAGGTTTCCTGGCAAGGCTGGGGGCTGCCTCTGCCGTAGATTTAGAGACTCTTGTAAATACACTAACAATAGGTAAGGAGAAACTTTGAACTCTTGTTCGGTGGCAAGCACAGTGCTAGGAATTTTCTTACACGTTGCACCATTTAAACTTCTGTCTGATCTCACACCTGAGTATTATTGGCCCCATTTTTGCAGATGAAGCGCTTGAAGTTTAAAGAGGTTTTACTACTTGCTCAAGACCACCCATATGGTGAGGGCAGACGTGATGATAGAATTTGGCCACCTGACCCCAGAGCCCAAAGAGGTCTCTCTTCTGAGCAACCTCATTTATAACTGGGTGTAGTTGGCATTTGCTAATTACCAGGTTGAAGTGTTGTGTGGGCGCCGTGTACGCTGACCATTTGCTTGTCATTTTTCCCTTGGGATACACAGTGGATTTCCTTCCGGTGGGATGGAATCATGGAGGCTGAACCCGTGTAACTCTTCTGCAGGGTCAGGGTGTGGATGTGCATCCCAACCCCTGCAGGAGTAAGACGGACTCTTTCTCATAGGTGGATGGCTCCTGGGCCAAATGGGAGCCCTATGGCGCCTGCTCGCGCACCTGCGGTGGGGGTGTGCAGCTGTCCCGGAGGCAGTGCCGCAACCCCACCCCTGCCAACGGGGGCAAGTACTGCGAGGGAGTGAGAGTGAAATACCGATCCTGCAACCTGGAGCCCTGCCCCAGCTCAGGTGAGGAGGGGAGGGCCCCTCCCCCTGCCCCCCCCCTACTTTTTGGCTGCAAATTACGCAGTCAAGATTCGCTCCCCTAGGGCAAAGTCTGGAAGTGCCGAGCACTTCTTTGCCCACTCCCCTTGGGCAGGAGTGTTTTCTTCTTCTTCTTCTTCTTTTTTTTTAATAATTTTTTAAAGAGTGTTTTCTTCTTGATGCTTAGGCTGGGATGCTAAGTGGCCCAAGGGTATGACACACCAGATGGCCCTTTAGTTAAGAGCTTACAAGCCCATCTTCATAAGCAGGAATTCTTTATCCAGGGTCCAGGAACTTGGGTGAGAAGGAAATTACATCTCTATTTTTACTAGCCTTTTTTTTATCTCCTTCAATTAGAAATTTAATATATTTTTTTACTACTCTTTCTATCTAAAATTTATTATTTCTTTTAATCAGGCAACAAACTATAATACTACTAGCAGTACGCGTGACTCTGTCCCCAGTAGAAATCGTGGATATTTTCATATGACTGTTCAGTTGTTGGGGTTTCTCAGAATGCCATTTATTGTCATCACTACTTGAAAATGACAGTGGTTATTAGACTCATTACTGAATCTTGTTATGTAATGGGTTAACAAGGAAGCGCAAATATCACAAATATGTTTCAATATATATTGATAGTTGTGTATCATATAATTGGTATTGTTTGTAACCTATGTAATTTATTTTATCCAACTTAATAACATTCTGAAAATAGTTTCAAAAGACTGCTGAAGGGTTTGATAGCCCAAAACTGTCCGGGATACCTGTTATAGAGGGAATCAAAGGCCAGATTACTGTGGAAGGTGGCACAGTGCCTGGGGGATGCATGATCCTCTGTGACCTGCATCCTTTGGTCCTAGCCTACTTTAGTTCTTTGAGATGGGGTGGCGTCAGTGATGAGGATAACTTGGCTGAGGGTAAGAGCTGCTGAGAGCCACAGGTGGCTGAGCATCCTGGGGAGGGGTCTACCCGCACTGCCCTTCCCTTTAGCTTCCTGCCTGTGCTTCCTCCCTCCTCAGCTTCAGGCAAGAGCTTCCGGGAGGAGCAGTGTGAGGCTTTCAATGGCTTTAACCATAGCACCAACCGGCTCACCCTCGCTGTGGCGTGGGTGCCCAAGTACTCCGGCGTTTCTCCCCGGGACAAGTGCAAGCTCATCTGCCGAGCCAACGGCACCGGCTACTTCTATGTGTTGGCACCCAAGGTGAGTGAGCGTGGGGCAGGAGACCAAAGCAGAGAGAAAGTCTTTGGGGATGCATCCGGCTGAGCTGCCCCTCTCTCCTTTTCTCCCCCGTGGGGGGCACTGCAGGTGGTGGATGGCACACCATGCACTCCTGACTCCACCTCGGTCTGTGTCCAAGGCAAGTGCATCAAGGCTGGCTGTGATGGGAACCTGGGCTCCAAGAAGAAATTCGACAAGTGTGGGGTGTGTGGGGGCGACAATAAGAGCTGTAAGAAGGTGACAGGCCTCTTCACCAAGCCCATGTGAGTTCTGGGTCCTGGAGCAGGGGGAGGAGGGCTGAGTGGAGCTGACCCCAGGCGGTGAAAGCTTGGGTCAGACTGGGATAAACGGGCAGTGCCCTTACTGTAGAGGCCACTTGGACTCTTCTGCGAGTGTGATACTCATTCATTCATTTCTTCATCCATCCATCCATCCATCCATCCATCCATCCATCCATCCATCCATCCCTCCAGTAGAGATGAATGCTTGCAGAGTCCACCCCTGAAGAGGAGAGGCTAGTTAGGGAGATGGCAGAGAGTCATTAGGGTCTATCTAGAGTTCTAGAGTAAGACTCACCCATGTTCAAATCTCAGTTCCCCATTTTCTGGATGACCTTGAGCGTGTGACACAATCTTTGGAATTCTGGATTTGCTCACTTATACAGTGGGTATGACATGAATATATTTCCTGTCGTGCTGTTGTGAAGAATAAGGGTGTTAATCCAAGTAAAAAGCTTAGCGTTGTACTTGGTGCATAATAAATGCTCACTAAATGTTCATGATGATAATCACAAAACAAAACATGCCTGGAAACAAATGTGACAGCCTCCCCGTCTCACTGAGGCTGAGGCCCTGTCTTCGGGGATGAGATTGAGGTGAGAATGGCAATAAACAGCAGAGCAGGAGGCTAGGACCGAGGGATTCCCCCTTCCTGGGAGATGTGTGCAGGGTCAGCTGAAGAAGTGTCAGTAGGCCTCTCTGATTCCCACCTCCAGAGCCCGGGGCTCCTGGCTTTCTGAAGTCCAGCATATTCCCTTTTATTTTCAGGGGGAATGTGCTCCTTGGAAAGTCCTGACCCATGCTCTGGAAGAAGCTGGGGGAAGCAGAGCCCCCGAGGTCTCAGTTGAGCAGGGATATGGTGGGCTCTGAAAACTTGGGAGTCCAAGGCCTAGATGGCTGTCCAGGAGTCTTGGCTGCCCCCTCTGGACGCAGCACTCTCTGCTGGGCCCCTAGCTGGGCAACTTTTCTGGGAACTGGGGGCACTGCAGGTGGATGGCGTTTGCGGGGATCTGAGAGAGAGGCCAAGTGGAGAATTAAAGGTAGACACTCCCAGACTTGCTTCACTGGCTAAATGGCAGGTGCTCCTTTCATAGACTAGTGGAGCTGGAAGGAGACTTAGAAATCATCTACTTTGACCCCCTCGTTGTATAGGCGAGGACACCGGAACCCAGAGAGACTGATTTGCTTGAGCCACCAGGGAGGTGGTGTCCAAGGCTTGATCTGGGTGCCCGACTTCAGGGCCAGTGTATCTTAATGGGGTGTCTGGCCCCAGCTTTGGACTCAGGGATGGTAGACTTATTGTTTTTGCCCCTCCTCCTCATCCTTCTCACAGTTAATATATATTAAGTGCTTACTGGGTGGCGGGTACTATGCCATAGGCTTTATGTGCTTTAATGAGGTATGTGTGATTATGATCTCCATTTTCCAGGTGAGGCAACTGAGAAGCTAAGTGACTTATCCAAGGCCAACAGCTGAGTCAGTGGTAGGGATGGATCTGGCTCCAAAACCTTGGCTTTACTTTGCCTTAGAATTTACCATGGTATAGAGGCACTGGGTGGCACAGTCGGTTGAGCATTCGACTCTTGGTTTCGGCTCAGATCATGATCTCATGATCTCAGGGTCATGAGATCGAGCCCCGCGTTGGGACTCTGAGCTCAGTGGGGAGTCTGCTTCAGATTCTCTCTCTCCCTCTGCCCCTGCCCCCGCTCTTGCTCTCTCTCTCTCTCAAATAAGTAAATAAATGTTTTTTCTTTTTTAAAAAGAATTCACCACAATATAAATATACTGAAGAAAAAAGATCGCAGGGCGATACAGCCAGGGTATGTAGCTCTAGATGATGTGGTGACACTCTCATACCGCCTTTCAGTTTGTGTGTCCCCCTGACCTCCCTTGGGGTGGTTGAAGCCATCTGGATAGTCTCTGTACCCTCCCTGCCATCTCGGTGACCTGCCACTGGGTTTGTGAAAGGGGAATCAGCTGTGACTTCTGTGGGGAACAAGGGCCTTATGTCCAGGCATCTGTCTAAGGCACAATCCCCTTTCCCACCCCAGGCACGGCTACAATTTTGTGGTGGCCATCCCCGTGGGCGCCTCGAGCATTGACATCCGCCAGCGTGGCTACAAGGGGCTGATTGGAGATGACAACTACCTGGCCCTGAAGAACAGCCAAGGCAAGTACCTGCTCAACGGGCACTTTGTGGTGTCGGCCGTGGAGCGGGACCTGGTGGTGAAGGGCAGCCTCCTGCGCTACAGCGGCACGGGGACGGCGGTGGAGAGCCTGCAGGCTTCCCGGCCCATCCTGGAGCCGCTGACCGTGGAGGTCCTCTCCGTGGGCAAGATGACGCCACCCCGGGTCCGCTACTCCTTCTATCTGCCCAAAGAGCCTTGGGAAGACAAGGCCTCCCACCCCAAGGACCCCCGGGGCTCCTCTGTGCACCACAACAGCGTCCTCAGCCTCTCCAATCAAGTGGAACAGCAGGACGACAGGCCCCCTGCGCGCTGGGTGGCAGGCAGCTGGGGACCTTGCTCTGTGAGCTGTGGCAGTGGCCTGCAGAAGCGGGCGGTCGACTGTCGCGGGCCCCCCGGGCCACGTGCGGCATCCGCCTGCAGTGCAGCCCATCGGCCAGTGGAGACAAGAGCCTGTGGGGAGCCCTGCCCGACCTGGGAGCTCGGCGCCTGGTCGCCTTGCTCCAAGAGCTGCGGCCGGGGGTTTAAGAGGCGTCCACTCAAGTGTTTGGGCCCCGGAGGGCAGCTGCTAGCTCGGGACCAATGTAACCTGCGCCGGAAGCCCCAGGAGCTGGACTTCTGCATCTTGAGGCCGTGCTGAATAGGACCATCTTTTTCTCCTCCTCACTCTCTGCCCCATTGGTGCTGCCAGGGTTCTGGCCAGCTGGAGGGCCGTGGGTAGAGGGCAGTGGCCAGGGGTCCAGGCCATGACGTCACCCACTTCGAGGGACGAGGACCACGGGAAGGGGTGAGAGGTGCCCTCCTCCTCCCTGGCCTGGGCGGGGGAAGCCAAGTGACTAACGCACAGTCTACCTCACTCCCGGCTCCTCCAGGGCCCAGTCTCTGGGAGAGGCTGAGAGGTGCGGGCACTGGGCAAAGGCGCTGGGGCCCAGTTTCCGAGGGACCTGGAGGATGGGCACCTCCCAGGCAGAACTTCAGGGACCTTGGCCCCCGTAAGGGAGGCCACAGGCTGCTGGAAGAGCCATGGCCCAGCAGCTTGGCACCCTCAGGTGGCCCCGGGGGCTCTAAGCCGTTTCTGAACAAGGCAGGTTTTTATGGTGCTGTCAGCCCACCTTTTCTTTCTGACTGACAAGGACTGAATAATAAAAAAAAGGCTGGTGTGGGCAGAAGCCTGGTGGGAGAGTGGGATTAGGTATAACTGGAGCCTGGTCTACCCCATTTGGAAAGAGGTTTATGTGTAGGGGGAGTTGGGAGCTTTCTCATCTTCCTTCTACTCCTGGCCCTCCCTCAAGAGCCCCTTCTTCTTCCTGTTTGTCCAGGACGTCAGGCTGCGGGGTGGGCTTCCCAAGTATGTGCCCTCTGAGGCTTTGCAAATAGGTATAGGAAGTCGCTAGGGAGTTTATTGCCTTCTTCAGGAGGGATTGGACCATTAAAAAAAGAGAGAAGGGATGATGGATTCTGTGGTGAAGCAGGGAGTTTGAGGAGTGGCCTAGAGGGTTCCGTGTCACCGGGGCTGGGCTTGAGCTTTGGGGGAATATCACCCTGGGTTGGGGAGGAGGCCCCAGTTCCAATGGCTTCTTCCTCCAGAGAGGCAGGGATGAATAGGACTGCTGCCTTAGGCTCTGTGTTGCCCCAGAGAAGCTTCAGAGTGGCCACGGTCCTGTCCCCACTAAGAGGGATGTGGGAGATGCCCAGGAGGGCTAGGTGCTGAACATCCACATGCCTGTAGGTGGGTCTTCATCTGGACAGCTACGTGTGGTCTGGCTTTGGGCACATCACATGGCATTGCAGTTGGATAACGGGGTTCACTGTTTGCTACCTCAGGCTATGCTCTCTGGGTACCCACACCTGTCCCTCCCCTGGGGCAGTGGTGACCCTGGTGCTTCCAGCAGACCCCCTGGCTGTTGTCCTCTGCAGACTGAGCTGCCCAGACACAAAGATGAGTGTGTGGCACATGGCTTCCTGCTCCCTATAGCCTGGCCACCCACTGGGGCTCCAAGTATGAAGGCAGGACCTCTCTCTTCAGGTGCCTTGGGGACAGGTTTCAGGAGACACAAGAATCAATGACCTGACCCAGAGGCACTTGGCAGCCACCAGTCGGAACGCATGTCTATCCTAGAGACGTGTTGGGGATGTAGAAACCAGGGTGTTTCCTATAGCTCCAAGTGGGCAGATGTTTTGGGGTTAGAGAGCCTTTGGTCAAGCAGGGTATTTCTTGAGGGTGCAGCTGCTCCAGCATGAACATGGGAGATTCTGCTTCTGAGTTAGGTAACATGTCCTGGACTTTAGTGAGGTGACCTCAGAGCAAGTGTCATCCCTGAGAAAGGGGGGTTAGGTCCTTTTATTTGGCTTCCCCTAATAGTCAGAATCCACAAACAAGCCACCCAGGCAAGCCTGTGGGATGGTGCTCCAATCCCAGCCTAACCCTGGGCTAAGCCCTTGACCAGAGCTCCCACAGCAGGGCAGAGGGCGTGTGGATCTCTGAGGCAGGGCAGGAGAATGAAGCGAGGAGGAATCTTCCTCCTTGTATGGGTGAACACTGTGGGGTGGCAACATCCAAAGGGACCCAGGGCGCCAGGGCAGATGTGGACCCCTACTAGCCTAGCCGACGAAAGCACTGCACCCCGTGCTTGGTGCACCCATCCTCCACGAGGAGAGGGTGGCGCGGGGGGTGTGCGGAACGGGCAGGGGAATGGGGAGGGTGGGAAGCAAGCTGCCATCAGGGGGGGTGACTGGTCCCCTAGCAGAGCAGCTTTATAAATCATTTCCAGGTGGGACAGCCTATCTTGTTCCTGACACAAGCTGGGCCTCAAATGCTCTTTTCTGTCATGATGTTTTTCTTTTTCCCTTTTTCCTTTTTAAAAGAAGTATGACCAAGACAACTTGGGAGGTTTGTCTTATCTTTGACCGTTTTGCTAATCCAACCGTGTTCTCCAAGCCTGAGCAGAGACGAGCCTCGAGGTACAGGTTTCTGGTGATGGCATAAAAAGTTAAGGTGGTATCTCATGTCGGTAGAAGATGAGGAAGATTCTGGGGGCTCCAGAAGCTTCTTCCATGGGGTGTGGACCAGTAAGGATCTGGGCTCAGGAGCCCCCTGTCTCCTCTGCCCTTTGTGTGCACTGATTGGAGGAGTCCAACCTTGTGAGCCTCGCCGTGCTGAAGTAGGGGGCTGGGGCGAGCTGAGGGGCTTGGTTGTTCCCAGCCTGGGAGTCGGCTCCCTAAGGCACTTGACACTGTCACTTACAGAGCCCCCCCTTGTGTTTGGTTCTTTTGCATCCCACGTGCTGCAGAAGGACGGGAGGACTGGGTACTGGCTGGGCTGTGTATACCGTGTATACATGGGAGCTGGTTGCTGCAGGGACAACAGCCTGCTCCTAATAAAGTTGTAAGTATTTAACATCCGTGTCCTGCTTCTGTGACGTCATCTCATTCCCACCTCCATCCCCCAGGTCTGCTGAACAGGCCCGACGTGGCCGCCATGCGCTGGGGTCTCCAGGGCTGCGGTGACGAGGACAGGCACAGGCTCTGTCCCACGCAACCCCGAGTCAGCAAACAGCCAGGGAGCAAAGATCCGGAAGAGTGACGGATCTGGGGGTGTGTGTGGGGGGTGGAGGGGCCAGGAGAGCCCGGAAGAGGATGGGACACAGCCCTGTTGAGAGGGGGGTGGGGGCCTCCCAGCAGAGGGACGGCATGCTGGGGCTTGGTGACCAGAAGGAGCAGGTGTGCAGGAGGGTCTGCGAGAAGGCCTCTGGGGCTGGAGCGTGGTGAGGGGGCAAGGCACAAGGAGAAGCTGGAGGGTCCCTTAAGTGGGGTCTCCCAGGCACCTGCCTTAGGGGGAAATCCCAAGTTTCCTGAGGGAAACTTTCATTCTGTTTGACGAATGTTCCCCTCTTCTCAGCTCTGTTTTGGTCTGACAATGGTAGCAAATACACAGGCAGGGGAGTGGTGTGACACATTTTCAGGCACATCCAACCAGGCGTCCAGAAACTCGGCGTTGGTCTTAGATCAGAGATCCTATCTCAGGACCCCATTTTCTATCTGCAAAGTGAGAAAGGTAGATTTAATGTTCCTTTAGGGTGTTCCAGCTTTAACAGTCTGGGTTTCTAGGCACAGTGATGGTTTACACTTTGGCGGATGATTGTTTGGTGTCAGTTTGGGGCTGAACGGGCTCCCTCTCATGCCTTCCCGGCAGGCAGGGGTAAATGACTTCTTTAGGGGCTGATTGTACACCTAGGGGCCCAGGGCGAGGGGGCTGGAGTGGGAGTGTGGACAAAGCTTCAGCATTTGATAGATAGAAGGTTCTGGTGGAAGGAGGAGTTAGCCAGAAGAGTCCACTTGACACGGCGACCCTAGTTGGAGGCCTGGAAGGGACCAGGAGGGTTGATGGCTAAGCTAGAAGTCATCGACTTCAAGGTCTTTGTAAAATGTCTCAAGACATTGGCATATTTGGGCTTGTTATTTTATTTTTGTTACCCCTTCTGTTTTGCATTGTAGCAACTGCCAGTAAAACCTTTCTAAGGAAAATTCCCACGGGTTGGTCTCTGGGTAAAGGAAAATGGTTTCTTTACTTACAATGCTTCTGACACCAAATGTGTGTGTGTGTGTGTGTGTGTGTGTGTGTGTGTGTCTGCGTGTTTCCCACGCCAACCAATTTTCCAACTCTCCAGACACCAATTGAGTGTCCTAGAATTTAAGTCATTTCTGACAGTAACTAGCTGGAATTAGAATCAGGTTTAAGGGCTCAGTCTCAAGAGACTGCCTTCACTTCGGACACTAGTCACAAGCAGTGGGTCCCCAGGGTCCCCACACTTCTGACTGACTTAGCCTCAAAGTTGAGTGTTCCCACAGTCCCTGGGGAGGTTTGATCATTTGCTGGGTTGGCTCACAAAACTCGGGGAAACATTTACTTATGTTTACCGGTTTATTATTCAGGATATGATAAAAGATATAAATGAACAGCCAGATGAAGAGGTACACAGGGCAAGGTTGGGAAGGGTCCCAGAGTGAAGGAGTTTCAGTCCCTGTGGAGTTGGGATGTGTCACCCTCCTGGTGTGTTCATCAGTGCCAAAGCTCTCCAAACCCTGTGGCTTGAGGATTTTTGGGGAGGTTTTCTCATATAGGCATGATCAATTATTAATGCAATTTCCAGCCCTTCTCCTCTCCCTGGAGGATGGAGGTTGGGCTGAAAGTTCTCAGCTTCTAGTCACGGCTTTGTCTTTCTGGTGACAAGTCCCCATCCTGAAACTATCCAGAAGCCCACACAGAGTCACCTTATTAGAACAAAAACCACTCCTGTCACCCAGGAAACCAAGGGATTTAGGAGCCCTGTGTCAGGAGCCAGGGTCAAAGACCAAACAGAACAAAAGATGCTGCTTGTTCCTTTATTACTTGGGAAATTTAAAGGGCTCTAGGAGTTCAGTGTCGGGAACTAGGCGCAGAGACAAATGTGTGTTTATAATGTTGCAGGAGCTCAGCAAATAAAAGAGGAAGGAGAGTAGTCTGGGTCCCACCCTGCAGCCAGTTGGGCGGTCCTGGAGAGCCAAGTAAGGTAAGGGGGTAGCATGTCACACTGGGGCCATCTGGAGCAGACCAATCTGCCTGAATTTTCAGACTTTCTGGAGAAGGAAGGAGTGGTTTCC